TGCTATTGTGGCGATCTCAGAGTATTCAGCCATAACTTTGATCCAGTTGTTTCGAACGTACTTTTAGGGCCGCCGTCATTTGCGATCTCCAAGCAGCTTTTTTACTCATTTTGCGGGCTTCAGCGTTTTGTTTATGAGCGTCATCGGTCACCTGACCGAGAAGTGTGCCTTGACGTGAGTCAAGCGTGACACAGACGGATGTAACAGAGAATCCGGTAATTTTTCAAAATAAAATATATTTCGCATTCCGAAATAAATAAAACGGAAATAAGGCAAGTTCTTTCTGTGCGGCCCGGTACCAAATGCCCTGCGGACCGGTACCGGTCCGCGGCCCGGCGGTTGGGGACCCCTGCTCTAATTCACAGGTGTCAAACTCAAGGCCCGGGGGCCAGATCTGACCCACCACATCATTTGATGTGGCCCGCGAAAGCAAATCGAAGACGTCAACTTCCACGATGCTTGCTAAAATCTCGACCAAATTTTAAATTTCCCATATTTAATAAAATAGACACATATTTTAAGCATTTTCTTGTGACCAAACCCCTCATTTCATAAATCGTTATGAGTGACTTTTTTTTGGATCTGTCAGAACGGCTCTAAAACGTGACCCACGACAAACATGATGTTGAAACCCCTGCTCGAATACATCGTTTGACTTTGTCGCAGAGCGCCAGCAAAGGAGAGCTCCGCCCGCCCGCTCGTTGATGAAAAAGCGTCCAGCCAAGCCATATTTTGTCATTTGATGTTGACAATGACCCCCAGGGGAGACCGTGACGCGTGACAGCTGCTGCCTGTTCATATTGATTAAGCGACAGCCGGGATCATTTAGCGATTTACCAACTGACGGCGCTTGAACGGGCGGCGACGCGGCCCTCCCTCAGGGGCCCGTTAGCCTTGACAGCCTGCGCTTGATGTTCACATGCGCCCCTTTAATGGCAACATCATCCTCCATCCCCACCGTGAGCCCCGTAGGACTCGTTTTAGCTTCCGCGGTTCATTTTTACGGCGGAAAGGATCAGCGCAACGTGTCGGCTGAAAAAAAAAAAAACATACGTTACAACGGTAGTTTGTTGAAACCGTTACCAATGAAATGGCCGCCAACTACGATGCAAAGTGCAGCAGAAACAATTTCGAGGTGTAAAAACATGATTGTGTGATTCAATCTGAAGAAAACATTCAGTTAGCAAGTGAAAAGTTCGGGATGTGCCGCACCCCGAAGCCGTTCACGATCACCTTTTCGATCCGTTGGCTTCGAACTCTGCCATTTTTAAGATGTTTATATTTATATTTTATATTTATTGATATACTTGTTGTTGTTCTACTTTCTCCCTTTCATAATTTTGCTGCCGTAAATTGGGATTTTCTACATTGTGAGACAAATAAAGGTTTTCTTCTCTAATCTTATCTTATGATCAGGTCGCCACTATTGAGCATTGTCGAAATCGTCCCCTTTACCAATTCGTAGTCTCGGATGACCGTCATCTGGAAAACTCCCATTTCGAAAGTGCGAGACAATTTCGGGCCTGTTTTCAGAGCATGTGCTCGGGACCGCGCCGTGGCGCCGGAAGTACAACAATGTACCGAGTCAATCTCTGGAGCGTTGCTTGGCAACGGATGGGAACCCTCCGCGGCGTACATATTGTACATAAGCAAGGTCGCGGCGCCAGTTTGCTTCCCGCGCTTCGTCGTCACGAAGGCCTTTTTGTGGGAAAATTCGTCAGTTGTGGAATATCAGGAGAAACATTAGCCGCATGCGTGTCCTTGAGAACACGCCAGGTGTTTTGTGTGTTGAGCACAGACTGAAGGGGTCACGCCTCAGTCACTCGAGTCTTCTCGCCAGTGATTGACAGCTAGCCAGGGGACACAAACACGGGCGCGATTGATTTGGAGTCGCCTTCCCAGGGGGCTTCGCGGCAAAGTCAAACGTTCACGTTTGCGTGTCGGCTTGAACTACTTTGTTGTGTGTCGCCAGCGCAAACTTTGCACCGGAGCATCTCCACGGCACCGAGAATCAACAGAAGTTGAAAATTGGATCGACTCGAGGCGCTCGTGGTCGAGAACGGGCTGAAGTTGGGGCCAATCTGATCTCTTGCCTTGCCTTGCCGAGCCGTGTAAAAAATTTCATTTTTGTTTAGCATTTGGTTCCATGTCCGTTAGTAACCAAAGAAAAAAATCCTTCATGCTGTTATTTTGCAATTCGCAATTTTGAGGTCATTTTTATTTGCTGCGCGGGCCGCATCAAATGAGACGGCGGGCCGAATCTGGCCCCCAGGCATTCAGTTTGACACCAGTGCTGTATGCACATCCAGAAGAAGGAAGGTCAGACAGAGAATTGTCGTTGACATGACTTTTGTTGTGGTGTCAGGATGCAAGGGGAACGCAAACCTTTGTCAGCGGGCCGTCAACTTTTAGGAGTAGCAAACAAACGGACGCGCCGCAAAAACGGGCCAAATCATTTGAAAAGCGCTTGGTGAACAAAAGGCGGAAATAGAAAAAAAACAAACAAATACAAGAGGCCCGAGAGCCACGTTGTCCGTGACGGCTGCCGAGTCAGCCGCCTAATAAGGCGAAATACCAGACGCCGAGTAATCTCCCGTGCGCGAAACTGTCCACTCATGAAAAACAAGACATGCAACAGCGGCAACTCTCGCTTTCTGCATGCCTGCCGACAACACGCCCCCCCCCCCACACCGCCACCACCCCTCACCCCCGCCGCTCTCTCGCTTCTTCCATTCTCTCTGCTTACACACCTTTCGCTCTCCCACCGCTGCGCCCCCCCCCTTCCTCCACCCACTCCTCCTCCTCATCTTCCTCCTTCTCCTCACTCCTCGACTCGTCTCGGTAAGTAGGATAAGGCCTGGAGAGCTCCGTCGTCGTGGTAACTGCCAGAAGCATTCAGTTTGAAGTTTGAGGAGGTCAGTTTGCGGGTCAGCGTGCCCCCTCCCACCCGACACCCCCCCCCCCACACACACACACACACAAGTAGGGGTGCTGTGGGGAGCCCTTCATGGGCCTTGGCCCATATACATAAGATGGGGAAGGAGTGGGGTGTGTGTGGGGGGGGGGGCTGTTATTTGGATATTTGGGGGCATGGGGGGGGCGCTGTGAAGCTCAGCATCCACAACACTTTGAGGGACTGAAATG